CCCCATTTAGCCCTCTGCCCACATGCCCCCTCCTCACAGAGGCTGCCCTGGCCACCTTACCTCAAAGAGCCACACACCACCCTGATTCATTTTTCCCTAGCACTGAACACAATATTTTACATTGTGTTATCGTTGAGTCATGTATGATATTATTTTATCTTATGTAATACATAATTTATTTTGTTTGTTTATTGGTTCCCATCACAAGACTCTTGAGCTCCACAAGGGCAGGGACTTTGTCTTGTTCACCCCTCTATTCCCAGCAGTTAGCACAGTGCCTGGTATATAGCAGGTGCTCCTTACATTTGTGGAATGAATGATTACAGATTAAATGCACAGCTGCCAGGTCACTATGGCTTCAGGGGCCTTCAAGACCCTCTTGCCCTCCTGCCCCCTCCCAGGCCACCTGCTCAATGCACAAACCCCTTTCCAAGGGGGAACAAAGCCCAGGCTGATGGCACTAATCACTGCCAGAGGTTCTGGACACTCAACGATGGGCCAGCCCTCTGCTAAACCCTTGGTACATTACCTGGTAAAACCTCAAAACAACCCAAGAGGTGGTGCCATCATGGTCTCTAGTTTACAAGGGCTGAGACTAGACTCAGGCACACAGAGATTATGCGGCTTGTCAGGATCATATATATAAAGTGGTAGGGTCCAGATTTGAACTGAGGACATTTGAATCCAGAGTTCATGCTCTTAACCAGCATGTGAAGAATATAGCTTCCCAAAGAGGAGACCCAGACCTGACCACCAGAAAAGACACTATTTCAGAACTTCTCTTAAGTGCAGGGCCTGTGAGCAGGCAGAGGGAGTAGCTCCGGGGCCTAGAAATAGAGGGAGTATTAGAGGGAAGAACCTCAATGCCCAGTTTGCTTCCATCTCCCCCCATCCCGGCCAATATGGGGTCCCCCAGATCCTGACAGCCTGGGAGGAATCCCATGCCAGATCGCCTCCCATTAATTGGCTAAACAAACCATGCTTATCTGGCCAAAGCTGGGGCCCAGTGAGTTTAAGATTAGAGAAAGCAGGATTCATGGCTTACTGCTCTGCTGCACACAGGGTCAGAGGAGACAGGGTTAGGACTTTAATTGGCTTAACAGCCCTGAGTGGCTTAATAGCTCAGAGGGTTGGGGAGGGAGGTGGTGGGCAGAAAGAGATGAAAACACAGGTTGGTGTCCAGCCCACAGCCAGCTACATGTCCTACCCAAGGATCTGAGTGTTCTCTCAGGGATCAATCTGCCAACGTACAGGGCCATTGCTCTAGGATCCTCTAAAGCTGCCAATGTGGTGCTGCCAGGGATAGAACCCAGGCTTGAAAATTGGACAAAGGTGGGTTGGCACCTCACCTCTCCCCTACTTCTTCAGTGAGTGATCTTGGGCAAGTTACATGACTTCTCCAAGCCTCACTTTCTCATCTGATAAATGGGTATATCAATTTGCCACCAGAGGGAAGGTTTCAGGGTAAAACAAGATCATGAGCCTGGACCACCTCACATGGGGCCAGCTGGGACATGGAGGGTGCACAGTGTTTGTGGATTCCTTCTCCTCCTCTCCATCCTCAGGGCCCCATTTTGCGTTTATAAGAATAACACTCATTTCCCAGAGTGGTTTGGGAACAGAATAATAAAGGACCTTAATCAGTTGTGAGGAGCTGACCAGAGATTTCAAAGAGAATGGACCCACATATATGTTTCCTTTAGTTGACACTATTTTTTAAAAACCTTAATTAATAGTTGAATTTTGGCAGAATTCACCGAAAGAAAAGAAGTCCCAATTTCCCATTTCTCTTGAGAAATCAAGATTTGACAATACCTGGTACATGATTTCTCATGGAACCATCAGCTGGAGCTGAGTATCAGCTTCCTCTCCTCCAGGACACTGCATGTCCTGTACTGTCTTCTTGTCTGACATCCATGTACTGACACAGGTCCGTGTTACCTGGCTCCTCAAAGTATTCAAGCTTCTCACAAGCATGAGGAGTTAAAAGATGTCTTTATGATTCAAATTAATTTATTCAGAAGTAGGGATGTGGGATCAGGAGGTGAATGACTAGCCAATCTCCCAGCTTTGTGGGCTTAGACACACATCTCCTTCCTCATTACCCTGAGTTCCACCCCTCAGGACGTCTGCACGAAGTCCTGCTGAACAGTGAACCTATTCTTTGTGGGAAATTTTCACAGGGTAAGCAAACATGTTGCGCCAACATTGCTTGTTTTCTAGGAATGCCAACCCTGGTGGCTTCTTGTCTGGATTTCCCTCCATTTAGCCAGACCCTTAGCCATTTCAGAATCCTAAGCTTTGGGTCAGGGGCCTAGGGACTTTAGCTCTGATAACTGAACCCAAAGTCAGAATTCCAGAAAAGGGGAGACTCTTAAGGTCATCAAATCAAATATTTTCATTTCACATACAGGGAAACTGAGGTGAGAAGAGCCTCACCCAAGGTCACCTAGCAAGCTGCTTACAAATCCAGATTAAGTTTCCTGATCCGACCCCACCCCCAGTCCAGCACTTTCCCTGCAATATACAGTGTGTCCCCATCCTTATTCAACTCCCTCCCCCTCCTTTCCCATTCTTATCTCAGTCCAGCAGAAGCCCTGACTTTCTACCATTCTGGAATCTTGGGATCTCAGACTCATAATTCTTTGAGCATAGGGGACACTTTAGTGGCAGAATTGCAGGGTGGATAAATTGAACTTGGGCTCTGAAAGCAGAGAGTCTTGAGTCCTTGCGCTTTTACTCCCTGATTGTGTGACCTTGGGCAAGGATGTCCCCTTTTTGAGCCTCCATTCCCTCATCCGTTAAGTAGGAATGATAATACAACCACATCACATTATTAGGAAGGATACAAGAGATGAAACAGGTAAAAATGCAACCTATAGGCTGGCACAAAGTGAGTGTCTAATAAAATAATTATTATAGAACTATAAATTAGGGTTCCCATACCCCTACTGCGTAAGTGGAATAGTCCAGTTGTGCTCAAAGAGAATGGAACTAGACAAACTGAAGCACATATACCTTGTCTAAATTGTTTCAAGCCTGATACTGCTTGATGTTTTGTTTTGTTTTTTCAAGAGAATCTAGGTCTCTGGATTTTTGAAATACTATACAAGCCAGACAATACACTTCCGTAGGCCAGGTTTAACCCAATAGCCATTAGTCTGTCATCCCTGCAAAATCATCTCATCCCAACCCCCTCACTTTACAAATAGGGTAGAGTGGAAATTGCTAGCCCTTTTATCTAAGAAAGCATGGTGCTCAATGGACCCTCAGCCATCTGCAGCCGCTCCCCTGAGACCCCCCTCACCCCCACCCCATGGTCATTTTTTTTCTGTTTGAGGGAAATTCAAGGAAGAAGTATCCATTGCTTGTAAGTAGATTCTGAGCAAGGGGAGAAGGGGGTTTTGAGGTAGCCAGTGAGTCAAGGGGCAGTTGGCCCACTTTAGGCTGAAGGGAAAGGGGGATGAAGCTTTGGCTACCAAGAATAGGAAGTTACCATTTCAGAATCTAAAAATATCTTTCACCATCTGTCCACTTGGGCACAGAATGATAAATGCAGATTAGTTCCTGGATGTAGACATGAATATTTTTATGTGTCAAGCTAATAATAATAACACCACCTTGTGTGGATAGAGCTCCACCCACCTTTTCCCCCAGGGCAAGATAAATGGAATATACACATTATCTAGGCAAGGCATAGATGGGGAAACCAAGGCAAAGAGAGATCTGGCAACACAACAAGGGTGACACAGCAAGTGAGCAGCTGGGACAAACCCTGGGAGTCCTGTTTCCAACCCTCAGCACAGAACTGAATCTTCTGAGTTAAGCAGAATATGTTAACAAGTAGCAGAATAAATATAACAACAGCAATGGTCACCTTTTACTCCACAGTGACTTTGACTTTTTCCGTGCTTTCCCCACATCTGTGATAATCATGACAATCTATTGCAATCCTAAAATATGTTACAATCTGCAGGGTCTCTATGAAGACCTTCTCTCACCTGACCATCCTAATAGGTAAGAAAACATAAGAGTAGGTCAGTGACATGAGAAAAATAGGGAATGTCCCTCATTTCACAGATGAGGAAACTGAGGCTTAGAGGGAGGAGGGGTTTGCCAAAAATCTCATAGTAGGCAAGTTCATTCTGCAGTGCACAGTAGGGCCTTAGCTACTAGAGCAATACTGACCCAAGGGGAACCTGAGATTCAGAATTCCCCGTCTCCAGTCAACTCAGTTGAGCTCAGCTCAGCTGGACCCTCAGTCCTGGCAGAGGAAGAAGCCTAGAAGTGAGCTGCTTACACAAAGCTCAACTTTGTATTACTGTCTTGAGATGAAAGGACAGCTAGTGGCCATCTAATCTTAGATTCAAGATCCCAGATCCTCATGGCCCTGTTTCTTTTGGGGTGACTCAAAGAGAGACTTGGAGAGACTCTGGGGAAGTGCTGGAAAACAGAAGGAGCTAGACCAGCTGGGTCCAGCACACCCTTTCCCAAAAGCCCAGAAAGTTTGGGCGGGATATTCATTTAGCTGCCTCAAATTCTGTTTCTCCTGGGAGGATGGGAATGGACTACAATTCCAAACTGAGAAACTTTGAGAGCAGGGAAGGATTTCTGAGATCTTCCCTAAGCCCAGGCTCAGCATTCAAGGAGAGAGGAGTGTGAGAGGGCTGGTTCGAGCCCTGGGGCCCTGTGCCAAGCTTCACATTCATCTCCATCGACCCTGGGACCTCCTCATCCACACACCCCTGAGGATCTTTCTCTTTCTTCTTGACTCATTCCCTCTTCCCTCAACGGCCCGATCAGAGAGGATGGTACTGAGGCTGGTCAGAGTTACAGGGCAGAGGTCAGGGAGGAGCTGGCAAAGAAGAAATCAGAGCTGCAATAGGGTGGGGCGGTGCTGAGGTCAGGACAAGAGGGGTCAGAGCAAGCCTGGGGTGGCAATCAGCCCCTCACAATCCCCACTCCTCGGACTCAGTTCTCTCCACCTGAGCTTCTCCTACCTCCAGACCTGACCGAGCTGCAGGAGGTGGACGAGGGTCTGCAGTAGCCAGACGCAGAGGCGGCAGCAGCGGCGGCGGAAGGCGCTGGCCGAGGAGGGCACGGGCTGGGGGCCCAGCTCCGGGCTGCCTTCTTGTCCGGAGGCGACGGCGCTGTCCTTGGTGCTGATGACGGGCCCGCCGACACCGCTGTCCTTGGTGCTGACGG